GAAGATTTATAACATTTTCCATGTTCTCATTCTTCGGAGATATGGATCTGATCCCTCCCATATCGTTACACTGGAAGAAATAAAAGTTCAACCCAATTTGACCTATGAGGAGAAACCACTGCAAATATTGGCATATGAAGTCAAGCAGTTAAGAAATAAAACAGTTCCATTGGTCAAGGTTTTATGGAGGAATCATAAGGTAGAGGAAGCAACGTGGGAACGTGAAGAAGATATGCGTAATCAATACCCCATCTCTTTGTGTAATGAAAATTCGAGGATGAATTTTCTTAAGGGGGATATTTGTAACATCTCAAACATCGGATTAGTGACCAAATTGTAAAATTTTAGAATTCAGTGACTAAATTAGATAAATTGAAAAGTTCATGGACTTAAGTGAAATATTTTTATATAGGACTGAATAGCAAAGAATGATGAATGAAAGGGAAAAATGGTCATTTGACAAGTAAATGAATAAAAAAAATTGTTATGGTTATGTTATATACCACGTGGAGCTAGAAAAAGGGGAAAGAAAAGATTTCCATAGATATCTTCATTCTTCTTCCTTCTCTCAATGTGAGCTCCATAGAAAAGGTGAGTTTGGTTTTCAGCGGGTTAATTCTTGAAATTCATGAGTGGTTTTGATTAATGAAGCATTAGGAAAGATTATGGAAACTTAAATGGATGTAGAAACTCAAAGAATTATAAGTTGTGGATAATTGAATATAAGAGGTTTATAAGTGAAATTATGAATAATAGGAAATAAATGGATTTGGAAGTTGGAATTTACTTGTCATTAGTTAGAATAAGAAGTAATAAGTGTTAGAAATAAGTTTAGAACATGTAGAAAATTTAGTAAGATTCTTAGTTTAAAGAATTATAGTGAGATATTGAAGATGATGGTGTGTTAGAATGATAAAAGATGGTTAAAGTGAATATAGTTGAGTTTAATGATATGAAAGGAGTTCTAAAACTGAAGTTTAGGTGAATTGTTGATAAGTTTTGGGTGGTAGGAGTATATTCTTGGTTGATGGTATCGATACTGGATGAGTAGTACCGATACTACAAAGCAATAATAGGTGATAATATTGTGTATGTATCGATATTACATGAACAGTATCAATACCATAAGGCCAATGTTGATAAATGCTTCATGAAGTATCGAAACTACCATTATGCAAGTATCGATACCATTTTAGTAATAGAATTCTAGAATCGGAAAAGGGTATCAATACTCAAGCACATTATCAATACCACCGTAAAGGAAATATCGGTACTGTACCTTGGGTAGTGATACTACTCGAAGTGAAAATGTGAATTAAGTACTTAGGTTAGTTTAGGTTATTGAAGATCGATTCATAATGTTTAGAATTCTGATATTCGCATCGAATTTACTTTCATGTAGATATCGAACATAAACAAGTTCTGGAACAGTCGACGAGTTAAGATCAATCGAGAGGAAGATTAAAAGATATAGGAGTTGATTTGGACTAAGTGAGGCTAAGGTGAGTGCATACTTTTAGAATATATGTACTGCTATATGGAAATTAGACTTGTGACAAGTCTGTTTCCGACATATTGAATACATAATTGCATGAGTAGAAACATGATTATGATTTGTATTGTGTGAATGTATCTTGTTTGCATTACATGATATGATATGGACATGAACTTATATGATATGTATTATAAGACAATGATCTAAGTGAACATATGATAATGTTACATGAACTATGTGATAAGAAGCTATGAGATGATATGTCTATGTGATATAAGGCATGTGAATTGTGATAAATGGGAAAGCCCATGTTATGTAATATGAGAGTTGAGGGTATAATTGGCATGCCAATAGTCGAGGGTTCTACGCAGTCCTTCGGGGCATATATGTGATCCTTTGGAACATATATGCGGTCCTTTTTGGACATATATTTGGTCCTTTGGAACATATATGTGGTCTTACGAGATAATTCTGCGTAGTCCTTCGGGACATTCTATGTGGCACTTCGATGCATTTTCTACGCGGCACTTTGGTGCATTTTATATGAGTTGTGGTGACAACATTTGTGCACAACCTCAATGCACTCACATACCTTAAGTTCTCAGTAATGTACCATGGGCTAATAAAATATATAATATGAAATAACATTGAATACTGTGATAGGTTATTATTTGTTAAATGCATGTCCATGTATGTTTTGTTGAATAAATATATGATTGTATGTTACAATTTCATTATAACATTATTATATATTATGAATCTCTAAGTCGATGACTTAGCGTGTGAGTGTTTCACACGTAGGATCAAAGAAGTCAGAAGAGCAAGGATAGGCAGCTGGGACAGCATAACTCCTTTAAATATCATATCAGAAGCAACTTAAACAGTAGGTTCTTTTTGTTATATTAACCAGTGTTGGCATGTAATTAATGGTTTAAGTTGTATATGCTCTTGTCAGTTTGTAAACCTTTTGTATTGAATTTATGTAAATTATTCAATTTATTTAATATAAGTTTAAATTTTCCACTATTTTGTATAAGTACATTGATTTGAAAAGTCAATGTGACACATCGGACTTTTATCCGAGTCGGGTACGGGTTGGAGTGTTACATACCATACTTGCTACAATTATAACATTACAGCTTAGATTTATTTCTTTGTTGGTATCTTCCTCTGCCTCAACCTTGGCCTCTGAATCCTCGTTCATAGCTTGATGTTTGGTAGTTTTCACTCATTTGAGTGGTGTCATATGATTGACCACCATGTCCTTGTGTTCCTTGTTCATCTCTATTTCTTCCACAATAACCACCTCGATTTTCTCAGCCTCGTGTGTAGTTGTTGTTGGCTTGTTCTTCGTGGATGTTCATTTTTCTTTGCAAGGCTTGCTCTAAATTTTCAATATTTTCATTTTTTTATCTTCTACTCATGGGCTTGAAGTGAACCCACAAGCTCATCGATTGATATTTTTCATTTTTCTTTGCAAGGCTTGCTCTAAATTTTCAGTATTTTCATTTTTTTTATCTTCTCTACTCATGGGCTTGAAGTGAACCCACAAGCTCATCGATTGATATTTGAGGTAAATCTTTCGATTCTTTGATTGCCATGACACTTAGTCAAATTTTTATGTCAATGACCATAAAATCTTTTCCATCACTCTAACTTCATCGAGTGATTCACTAATCCTTTTCATTTCGTTTACAACCGCTTTTACACGGCTAATACAATAATCAACACTTTCTGTATTTTTTATTTTCAACGTTTCAAACTCAGCTCATATAGATTGTAAACATGCCTTTTTTTCTTTTTGATGCCTTGAAAAGATTTTTGTAGAACCTCCCATGTTTTTTTTTGCAATTTTCGCATATGAGATTTTTTTCAAAGGTAGATTCATTTACTCCTTGAAAAATAAAAAACAAAGCTATGTTATCTTTCTTGGGGGATTCCTTCCGTACCCTTTTCTCTTCATTTGTCAAGGTTGCTTCTGCTGTTGCATTTCGAGTTCGACAAAACCTTCCTCGACGATATCCCAACAAACTTGGGAACCAAGTAACGTATTCATTTGGATACTCTAATTGCCATATTTCGCCTTTATCAATCTCGAGTGATTGAATCATATTGGTCATCTTCTTCGTTGCGTAAACTCGAACCAAGCTCTAATACCACTTGTTGGAAGCGTTAATGGACACCCAATAAACTTTATAACTCGCACGATATAATTGATACGAACCAAAATACAAATATGATACTAGAATCGCTTAGTTTACAAACAACACTATAGCTTTGCTAAGCTTCACTCACTATCTCTCATTTTTTCTTTCACTCATTCATACATACTAAAGCTAATCTATGCACATATTTATAGGTGTACTAAACAGTCTAATATGCTGTTGATTTTTTTCTTATGTCGCCTTAATCTTCTTCATAATTTTGTTGCTACCGCATCATCACTCTATTGCTGCTTCAATTTGTGGTTGTTTCATATTGCTTAATTGTTAAGCATCAAAGCTGATATCATTTCCTAGCTGCTGCCATACGAGTTGCTTCCTTCATGTAATTTCAAACTTTGCTGACATACTAGAAAAATCCAACTGCTGCTTCATCATCAAAATGTTGCCACATTTTAAGCTAATGAATTTCTTAAGTTGATAGCCAACTCATGTTAATATTTCATGAAGTTTCAAACCATTCGTGAACTATCCATTGCCTTGTCAAATGTATGAATTAAAATCATATTTGAATTCTAACATAAATTACATGTCTAGTATTCCAATTATCACTTTTATTATGTTTTGGTTATTCATCTATTTTTTAATTATACATAATATTATGTTTTAAATTCATTCTAACATAAATTTCATTTTTTATTATTTTTTTAATGATGATGTTTTATTATCTTATGGTGATACGTCAACATCACCGTTATTTTTAAACGGTATGTGGCTAAAATAAAAATAAAATTAAATATTATGTATGATTTAAAAAATAATTAGATAATCAAAACGGAACAAAAATAATAGTTAAGGTATTAAACATATAGGTTACCCAAAACAAACTAGTAGACTCGATTAGAATTTGGAAAGATGTATTCCAAACCTCGACCGGTATTAACCTAGTCTACGAAGCCTTCGAGTATATGATTCTAAGCGATGTGGGAACAAAGAGAAGAGCATATGGTAAAAGCGTCAGGTAGAAAATGTCAACTACTTTGGACAAATGGTGTTTCGGTATTAGGATGAGCCGAGGAATATTGAAGTAAGGTTAGCCCTCTTACAAATTTTAAATTTACTTATATTTTAAATTTTTATATTTTTATTAAATTATATATTTTCACAGGCATCTAAAATATTAATATAATTTCTTAAATTCGAAAACTAACTCAAAATACTGCATCCGTTGACCATAACATGATTTTCTTGGAACCATAAAGAAACTAAATAAATATGATTGTAAAAGTTTTTCCAGTTTCAATCATATCAAAGAAAGCAGCTTCAGTGACATTTATAATGGCTTTAGATTTTTATTTTTATTTTTTCCCAACCAACAAGCACATTTACGAGATTTTATACAAATTACTCACCCGATCTCTCTCTCAAATAAAGATGAAAACCAAACCCAAAAGACCTTAGATTTAGATAAACCTCTCTTGCCATTGTGAAAGCTCAAGCTAATTAATCTGAGGTCCGCTGCCTTCGCCTGTCTCTGGCCTTTTAGGAGTGAAGAGAACTATCACCGGAACTCCCTGCATAATTGACCTACAGTTATGGACTGCAAAGAAATATATATATATATAAAGCTCAGTTATGGACTTACAGTTACGCTGGGGGTGGAAGGAGGATCAGCTGGTGGGTCTGAATAACCTGTTGGAGTTGAACCTGCTTCTTTTTCAGAAGAATGTCGATTGTTATCGACTTTGCCATCATCATCTTCTTCCATGGGACATGAACTAGGGTTTTGGTGGAACCCAGTTTCGAGTCCCAAGCATCTGAGAAGAGCCCTTACAGCTTCATGGAAACGAGTTGCTAGCGATGTAACTTGGTTTGTTGATGAAGTATCTTCCATTATTTTTGTGATTGTGCATAAAGATAGCTTATTCTTGTACTGTTGATAGTTTTATTAGCCTTCTTAAATGCTTGGTTGGCTCATCACTTATCAATGGTCTTCAGTTTCACCACTACTTTACAGTTTACAACCCTTGAGCGTTGACGAAAGTACAAAACTATCCCCTTAGTTGCCCATATATATATATATATATATATATATATATATATATATATATATATATATATATATTCTCATATATCCCCGTACTATCCCGATTCTCACTTCATCCCTTACAGAATTTCTTTTAGTTTTTCCCAGGGTAAACTAAACACACCCTTCATCACTTAAATTTATTCTATCTCTTGTTTCATTTATTATATTTTTAAATTTTCTAATTTACTTATCGAATTTTTGAATTGTTTATGTGTTGGTCACTCTAAAATATTTTATTATTATTTTAGTATGATGTGACATTTATTTTTATTATTTCATTATTATTTAATATAAAATAATTTAAAATATAAAATAAAAACATATGGTGGTCGTTCACTATTTTTCGACATTGGACACCATTATTAACGGTCTTAGATGGTGGTCATTTGAAATGAGAGTAAGTAAGGGACAAATCAAAGATCCAAAATGTTTGTTACTTATTAGTATAAACTACACCATTTTTCACTAAACTTTATTTTCTCTCATATTTCGTTTACTTTATTTTCAAATTATCTAATTTTTTCACCGAACTTTCGAATTGCTCCTTTTATGATCACTCTGAATTATTTTATTATTATTTTGATATGATGTGACACTTATTATTATTATTTAATATAAAATAATTTAAAATATAAAATAAAAATAAATGGTGGTCGTCTACTGTTCACCGACGTTGAACGCCACCATCGACGGTGTAGATGGTAATTATTCAATCCTAAATTTCATTGGTAGCTTCATATTGAGCCCGAATCCGACCTCTATTTTATCGGAACATTCTCTGAATCCAATCAAAAGTGAGAAAATTAAAACATCGATCGCCATCGACCACCTTAAATGATGGTCAGTTGGTCCTAAATTTCATTAGTCGCTTCGTCTTGACCCCTTGTGTTTGAATCTGACCTCCATTTTGTCGGAATATGCTCTGAAGTCTATGAATAAGAGAGCAAAAGTGAGGAAATCGAAATGTTTCAATCGAAATTCATGGGTTTGGGGATATTTTCTGGTGAAACAACCACCAAATTTGGAATCAGCATATCAAAGCGAGACTCTCGGTATAATTTGGGATCAAACGTTTACTGGTTGAGAAAGCCGACGGTGGTCGACGGTGAAGAGAAGGGGTGATAGTTGAGAAGTGAAAATATTATTTTATTATTTATTTTAAATTAATTTTATATTTTAATAATAAAAAAGATATCATGTCATAGAGTAATAATAATAAAATAATTTATAGTGACCAAAAGAAGAGATATTCGGAAGTTTAATAAGTAAATTAAATATTTTGAAACTACAGTAAGTAAAATAGGAGAGAGAATAACATTAGGTGAAGATGGTGTATTTTACCCTACTTATTGTTTACGTTTTTCATTTGGTGATAAAACCCTTTTCTGAAGGATTAATTTAATATGTGACCAAGTGGGAAAGACAAGCAAAAACTGCCATGAATTAATTGCTGCCTTCCATCTGACATCAGCAGTTGGAGGAGTAGGTACCAAACTTTACTTTGATTAAATACCTCGTATAACTCTTTCACTCAAACGCATTTATTTTTGTCGTTTCATCTAAAACGCATTTATTTTTGTACTCGTCCCCTATTAATAAAAAAATGATTTATTATTATCGGTGTTAATTAACACGAAATATATGTTTATTTCTCATAAAATTATTCTATTCTTTGATAAAATAGAATATTAATTTAATATATTTTTTAGACGGAAATTAAATATTTTAAACTTATTTTAAATTTTATGATATGTCAATCTTTAAAATAAATTTATTATTTTTATTATAAAAATTATTACCACTATTTAAAATATACTAATAAAAATTACTAAAATATAAAAAAAGGAATAAAAAGGAAATTATATCCATCTCAAAGTTAATATATATAGTTAAATTTAAAATAAAAAAATGTATAACACTCGTTAACTTACAATTATTAAAATGAAAAATGAAAAAAAAATGTAATTACCATTCATGGAAGTTTTATGAAATTTAACTTACATTAATTGAAAATATGCATTATACTTAAGATGTGATTATATTAGCATATAATATAGATTTTGATTTAATTTAATAATAATCAAAATGATTTTACGAGGAAATATATTTCTAGTGCTTTCCGGGTAACAAAGAGCTGCACATAACAGTAAAAAATTTAAGTTGAGAAAAAACAAAATGAGGTTTGATTTTGATTTGGCTTTCAACCTTCTATTCAAAGAATAAGCATTAGATGTGTAAATATCAGTATCAACATATATAGACGTAGGTATGTACGTCTAGTCTTTGCTACTGCTCACGACTTAGTGATCACTAACTCCTTATTTAATAAAAGAGATGCGAACTTGATTACGTTTCACAGTGGGGGACATTGTACCCAAATCGACTACATCTTGGTTAGAAATCGGGAACGATGGGCTTGCATTGACTGTAAGGTGTTCCCTGAAGAGGCATGTGCATCACAACACTAATTGTTGGTTTTGGTGTTCCGCGTACCCAACGGGCGGAGCACGCATAGGAGGGCTAAACTGGGTAAACCTAGGATCCTCTGGAAGAACTTACATGGAGCGACAACTGATGACTTTAGGAGTAAGCTTTTGTCTAATACAGGTTTTGAAACTACAAACTCAAATAACGCAGATATGTTATGGAAAAATATGGCAAATTCCATCAGAGAGGTGGGCAAAAAAACCCTTGGGTTGTCGACGGGGAAGGCCAAGGAACATAAAGAATCGTGGTGGTGGAATGACGAAGTCCAAACTAAGGTGAAGACAAAACAAACTTGCTTCAAGGAGTTTCTTCAATGCAATGACGACGAAGAAAGGTCGGGAGCTAAACAAAGATACCAGAGGCAAAGCGGGAAGCCAAGAAAAACGGTAGCTAAAGCAAAGGATAAGGCATATGAGGAAATGTACAAGAGATTAGACACTAAGGAAGGACAAAATGGCATATTCAGACTTGCAAAATCTAGGGAGACTAGGAAAAAAGATCTAGGTAACATTAGGTTTATTAAGGACAACAATGGTGTTCTTTTAACGAAAGAACATGATATTAAGAGGGTTTGGGGTAGTTATTTCTTTGGCTTATTTAATGACGGTGCCTCTCCATGTAGAGATAATATCGTTGTTGGGTCAGCCGACCATCATACTACGGCCAATGACTGCCCTACAAGTAGGATTGGGTTTGAGGAAGTCAAAATGGCTCTTAGAAAGATGGGAAGGGAGAAAGCTGTCGGTCCTGATCAAATTCCTATCACTGTGTGGTTAGCCTTAGGAGATGAGGGAGTTAAGTGGTTGACCAACATCTTTAATATTATTTTAGAGACTGCCAAGATGCCAGAGGAGTGGAGAGAGTCTACAGTGATACCAATTTATAAAAATAAAGGAGATCCCCAACGTTGTGGTAACTACAGGTATTAAACTACTCAGCCATACATGAAGCTATGGGAAAGGGTGATAGAGGCTAGGTTGAGACAAGTCACTAGGGTTTCGGAAAACCAATTTGGCTTTATGCCAAACAGGTCTACCACGGAGACGATTCATCTACTTCGACGGCTTATGGAGAAATATAGGGAAAAGTCTAGAGATCTTCACATGGCGTTCATTGACCTTGAGAAGGCTTATGATAGCGTTCCTCGCGATACGATCTGGAAGACTTTGGAAACGAGACGGATACCAACTGCTTATATCCGGACGATTCGTGATATGTACTGTAGATCTACTACTTACGTCAGGACTACAGTTGGCGACACCGAGGCATTCCCGGTGGAAATCGGACTCCACCAGGAGTCGGCTCTTAGCCCTTACATCTTCGCCTTGATTATGGACGACATCTATTGTGCGACACCAGACGGTGTTCCTTGGTGTATGCTTTTCGCTGACGACATTGTCTTAGTGGCTGAAACAAAATCTGAGTTGAATAGCAGACTGGCTACCTGGAAGACTGCTTTGGAAGAAAAGGTTTAAGGATCAATATTGAAAAGACAGAGTATTTATGTTCAAACTTCAGTGGGAACCAAAATGATGAAAATGTAGAGGTATGCATAGAAGGACACGTTCTTCCCTCAAAGGATTATTTCAAGTACTTAGGGTCTATGATACATAAAGATGGGGGTGTAGATGATGACGTTACACACCGTATAAAGGCGGGATGGCTAAAGTGGAGGGCTGCTACTGGAGTTTGTGTGACAAGAAGGTGCCTCTAAAACTTAAGGGAAAATTTTATAGAATGGCAATAAGACCAGCGCTGTTGTATGGATCAGAATGTTGGGCACCCAAGAAGGATCACGTTAGGAGGATAGAGGCCGCAGAAATGAGAATGCTTCGATGGACATGTGGTAGGACTCTGTGGGATATGACGACAAACTCTGCTATTAGGATGTCCTTAGGGGTGATGTCTGTTTCCGAAAAAATGAGGGAGGGAAGACTACGGTGGTTTGGACACGTCCTTAGGCGACTACCGTCGGATGCGGTCAGGAGGGTAGAGTCGATTACAGTCGACGGTGCCAGAAGGAAAGGACGACCAAGGCGGAAGTGGGATGACTGCTTGAGATCTGATTTGAAGGATTTAGGCCTTACCGAAGACATGACCTATGATAGGAAATTATGGAGGCTTAAGACTAGGGTAGTCGAGTAGGGTGGGTCACATCTATAGGGTGTATCATCTTTGTCTTCTTTTAAAAGCATTTGTAGTTATTTCCTTGACTTTTACTTTTTATACTTTTCTGTTATTGGTATTTATGAAATATTAGAACTGGGCTTGCTATCGTTGTCTCATGTGTATCATTCTCATCATGTTTCCTCTGTTAATTTTAGCCGGGTCTTAGGTTTCTGTCTATATGCAGAGACTCTTTCGCAGGGATATTTGTACGGATTAC